GCGAGAACGAGAGGCGCCCGAAGCAGCTGCTCGAACATAGAGGCGCGTGAAGGAGGAAGCGCGAGCAGGTGGGCGCAAGCAGCAGGCGCGCGAGCAGAGAAGCTCGTGCAAGGAGCGCTACGAGACCGAGGCGCGAGACGGAAGAACGGTGGGGTCGGTGAGGAAGGAGAGACTCGAGCGGGCGACGCGAGCACCAAGCGCGAGCGGGAGGCCCGCGAGCAGAACCGCGAGCAGGGCGCACGATGGGAGGCCCGCGAGAACGAGAAACGCGAGACGAAGAGGCGCCGAAGGAGAGGCTCGAGCGGAGAAGCGCGAGGAGGAGAAGCTTGCAAACGTGAGCGGGCGCGCAGGAACGACGCGAGCAGAAGGCGAGCAAGGCATTGTGAAGGAGAAGCGCAAATCAAGGCACCTGCCGCAAATAAAAGTGCTAGCAAAAACAGCAAAAACAACGAATTTACAAAATAATAACAAATTTAACGAAGCTAAATTTTTGGTTCTTGGATATTACCGTCTCGAGGGTTTTTCTCTAAAGTTCCAATTTTTCTTAGGTAATATGCGAAAAACTTATCGAATCTATCGAATGGCACTTAAAAACTCCCGAAGGAAAGAACTATTTTACCTCGAAAATTTATAACCTAGCTGTGGTGTTTCTCCCCTTAAAATATAGGTTAAATTTTGCCCACAAACACCTTTAAAATGCTGATCTGCTAAATTTCAGGCGCAACAAAAACGAGTGCCAAAGACGAGGAGCTCAGGGAGCTGAGGGAGCTAAGGGAATTTAAGAAAGCTGCCGCCAAGCGTCCCCGCGAAGAAAGGTACGGAAATAATAAGATAATAAATAACCGCAAATTTATGCTTAGGAGTTCGGCTTAGGACTAGGCTTATTTTTCGGCTTACGCTTAAGCTTAGGCTTGGGCTTGGGCTCAGGCTTCGGCTTAAGCTTAATTAGTCAGGCTTAGGCTTAGGTTTAGGCTTAGGTTAGGCTTAAGCTTAGGTCGCTTAGGCCTAGGCTTCGGCTTCAGATTTGGCTTACAGTTAGTATGCTTAGTCTTAGGCTTAACTTACCTTAAGGTTAACCTAACAGTTAGGCTTAAAAGGCCGTCCGCGAGTCACCCGAACAGACCCCATTATGGCTTGGCACAGTTTTTTTCGACCCCCATTTTTTGATGCCATCTGATAGAGCGTGGTCGAATTAGAGGAATCGCACTAATTTGGGATTTTTAAATTAGCATTTTCCTGGTTAAACAAGGTGTTAAAGTTGCCAACGTCGAAAATTTATCTCGACGACTACGTGACAGAATTGGCTGAAACTTTGTGACTAGGCCTAATTTGGGATGGGGATCATTTTTCTAATACACCGCGAAGCACGAAAATTAGCAGAACCTAGTTAAATTGCATACCCAAAACAGTTTTTGCCGAATTTAAAATTAACGGCGAGTCGGCCGCAAGCTGGAATTAGGCTAGAAAGATGCGCAAAATTTTTCTGCATCGATTGATGTATTATTTAAGTGGCGGCCAGGTCGCCGTTTTCTCACAGCGAGCTTTTTATAGCTGAAAAATGGTTTGAAAATCTGACTAAAATGGAAAATTTTGCGATTTTCTATGTTTTGTCCCACGGGATCAGATTTAACGATCACGCCAAGCTAAACGCAAAAATTAGCAAAAAGAAATTCGACATTTGAAGGGGTGCTTGTTTTGGGCAGGAATCGAACCCGGACCCTCCGCCTGGGAGCCCTGTGGCGCAGTGAGTAGAGCGTCGGCGTGCCAATCCAGAGCCACCGCCAGTTCAATCCCAGCTACCTCTCAGGAGCCGAATTTCTTTTTGCTCTTTTTTGCAATCGACTTGGCATATTTTCTTGATGCGTTTTGACTACTCAGATATGTAAATACTGCAAAATTTTCCATGTTAGTCAGATTTTCAGACCATTTTCAGCTATAAAAAGCTCGCTGTGAGAAAACGGCGACCTGGCCGCCACCTAAATAATACATCAATCGATGCAGAAAAATTTTGCGCATCTTTCTAGCCTAATTCCAGCTTGCGGCCGACTCGCCGTTAATTTGAAATTCGGCAAAAACTGTTTTGGGTATGCAATTTAACTAGGTTCTGCTAATTTTCGTGCTTCGCGATGTATTAGAAAAATGATCCCCATCCCAAATTAGGCCTAGTCACAAAGTTTCAGCCAATTCTGTCACGTAGTCGTCGAGATAAATTTTCGACGTTGGCAACTTTAACACCTTGTTTAACCAGGAAAATGCTAATTTAAAAATCCCAAATTAGTGCGATTCCTCTAATTCGACCACGCTCTATCAGATGGCATCAAAAAATGGGGGTCGAAAAAAACTGTGCCAAGCCTTGTTCGGGTCTCTCGCAAACGGCCTTTTAACCTTCTTAGGCTTAGGCCTAGGCTTATGTCTAGGATTCGGTCAGGCTTACAGACTTCGGCTTACGCTTGGGCTTAGGTTAGGCTTAGGCTTCGGCTTAAGCTTAATTAGTCAGGCTTAGGCTTAGGTTTAGGCTTAGGTTAGGCTTAAGCTTAGGTCGCTTCGGCCTAGGCTTCGATTGAGCTTCGGCTTCAGATTTGGCTTACAGTTAGTATGCTTAGTCTTAGGCTTAACTTACCTTAAGGTTAACCTAACAGTTAGACTTAACCTTCCTAAGCTTAGGCTTAGGCTTGGTCGATTAATTCATTTTAGAGGCCGACCCGATGAGCCCCGAGTTGTGTACGGTGTTGGCGGTGTGCGCGGCCCTCGACGACAAGTTGTTCGCCGGCGTGCCGGGCCACTGGGGAGCGCAAGCTGAGCCTGGCCATCCGCGCCTGGAAGAAGTCCGTCAAGGGCAGCGCGCCGACCGAACAAAACCTCAAGATCACCCTGGCGCTCATAAGTGGTTCGGTGGTCGTCGTCGCGGAGGAGAAGCTGCGCAAGGCGAAGGCCATACCCGTCCCAGGCGGCCGGCGGTTGCGGATGCGTGGTGCAGGCGGGTTTTTGGGTTCTGGACTGTTAGCGGGGGCGCACAAATTTTTCCCTGTGATTCTCTAGGGACCTATAACAAAATAAAGAGCATTTTTTATAGCATTTAAATAGTTTTTTCGATATAATAAAAACAATCTAAAAAAGCAAAATTCTCGAAATTTTTGCATTTTGAGTATAAAAATGAACAAAAAAAAGTCAAAATGTTCCAATTTTCAAATTTTCCAAATATTTTTTGTAACTTTCCAATCTAAAACTACTAAAAACACCACAAAAACACATCAAATACGATCACCAGATAGGTGGAAAACAAAAAACATCGTTCCCCATGCAAAAAAATCGCTCCGCTAACAGTCCAGAACCGAAAAATTCGGTCCTCCCGATAATGCAAAAGATCCTTTTGTTAGACGCCCACGCCATGAAGTTTATCCACCACATATACACGGTGCTCACCGGCCGCCTGTCGACCTCGCTGTTCGACGACACCTTGGAGAAGAGCCTCGACGATGAGCTGCACGACGGCATCGAGCAGTGGCAGCGCTTCATTGGACTACATCCGGTCAGTTTTTTCGGCGAGAATACGGGGAGTCTTCATTAAACTTTTTTTACAATTACTAAGCATAAAAACTTTGTCGAATTTGTTTAAAAAACGTAAAAAAAGCCCGATAAAATGAACTTTCGGATTAAAAGGATTAAATTCAATCAAGAAAAAGTTGCCCCCCCCCCCGTTAATACGAAAGGAGCGGATTTTGTGGTTTCCAGATGCGCCCCGACGCGATGCTAGAAAAAGTCCAGGAGATCGCGAAAAAGGCCCATGACAGGGCGCTACCAGTCCTGCTGGAGGCGTTGCAGAAGCTGCAAAAGCCGGACGACGATGAGGATGTCGACGGCCCGGTGAAGGTGGAGGTGTGGATCCCGCCCCTTGGCCCGTCTCCCCGTCCCACCAACCACTGCCGCAACGCCGACACAATTTACGAGACGGTGTGCGTGTATTTTGACAGCCACGGCATGGCCGACGGCGAGGCCGCCAAGATCATGGAGACGCTCAAGGTGGGGCGAGGCTTGATAACTTCTAGAGGGTGTCCTAATCAAACACCCCCCGAGCCGACCCCCACCTACCGTATCTCGGCTCCCTGTTTATCTACAGGTGTGTAAAGTATACCAAAATGTTTGTCTTGCTCTGGCGAGTATTATGGTGTACTTTAAACACCTGTAGATAAACAGGGATCCGAGATACGGTAGGTGGGGGGTCGGCTGGGGGGGGGAGTGGGACTGGACTTAAAGGATTTCCATACAAAACGCAGACAGCCAAAACGCAGACAGCCAAAACGCAGACACGGAATATATGCTGATACTGAATATGCTGACACCACTGAATATGCAAACCGCTAGAACCATCTCATAACTCAACACTTTTTTCTTCCCATCCGAAATACAACTGCTGGTACAAGCACAGGAGAGGATCATTTTTGGGATGTTTGAGGATTTGAGATTTTGGGATGATGCGAAGATATGCGAAAGTTGTCATCGCTGTCGAATTAGGTGAATCAGGTGTCTGCATATTCGGTGTCTGCGTTTTGGCAGTCTGCGTTTTGGCTGTCTGCGTTTTGGACTTTTCCCGACTTAAAGGGCTTGTTTTGGTTACGGTTTACTTTACCCCCCCCCAGCCGGAAGTTTTTGACTATAACTTTTTTATTTTACATTATTGTAAGCTCAAATTAAAAAACTTAGTATATTGTTTGACGCTCTATCGAATGGCGTTGCAAAAATCCCAACAAAATCTGCGAAAATACAGAAAACTTTGAGACCTTTCGGCTGTGCGGGGGCGGGGGGGGGGTAAAGTGAATCCTTACGGTTGTTTTGATTGGGGGATTTTGCACTCGAGAGCGAAATGCACAATAGCAGCCATGTAGAATAACCAACCGCTTCCAACAAGCGGCTGGACTTCGGGCTACCCCCTGCGCTCCCTCCCTCTCGCCGGAACGCGCGCCACCTGGCTCAATATGTCCAAAATCACCGCAACCTCCGTCCCCACCCCTTTTACTAGGGAAAAAACTTTTAAAGTTAAATTTAATAATCCTACTATATATAAAAAAAAATAGTGGCTGTGTGTGTGTAGACACTTTGCATAAAAACCCGGGTTCCAGCCATAACTCGAAGGGGAAAGAATTTTTTGGTCCAGAAATAAGGTAGTTAGGGGTAATCGAGGTCGTAGATTACTGCACGCTTATCAGATTTTTACTAAAATTTCGTTTTATACCTTATTTTAACGTTTTAAACATAAAAACGTTTTAAAAACATATGGAAATAGACTAATTTGCATACGCGGCGCTAGGAGCCTCATTTTGGCTTTTGTCGCGCTCGCGGCCCGGTTGTTTTTGCTATTTTTTTAGGGTTCTTCGCCCGAATTATGCAAAGCCCAACTTTTAAAGATCCCCGCGCAAAGGCCAGGGGTGAAAAGTCGCGTAGCGGCTTTTTTAACCCTGGTTTAAACTAAAAGTTTTTCATAATTTTTTTATCGGTTTGGGGGTTTCTGACCACGCTCTATCCGAATCCGAAGAGAGCTAAGCTCTAGCTCCTTTCCCCTTTGAGTTGAATTCGGCTTCGGACGGACGGACGGACGAGTCAAGAAAATTATTATAGTTGATTTTTCAGAGTCAATTCGAGACGCAGCTGGACATGATGGGCCACAAGAAAAACGATGTGGCTGATATTGCGGTCCACACGTTCCGCGACGACACGGCTGCCGGGGACCCGCAGCTCCGCGGCGTCATCGTGTTCTTGGTGGGGGTTGTGTTTTTTTTTTTACTTAACCAACGTCCGGCGGCTGGAAACTACGGTGCGATTCCACTGCTTCCAGACGAACTTGGCCGTCCTCGAGAGTTTGGAGCACGTGCGCCTGGGCGCCGGCTTCTTCCACGTGCAAAAGACCGACGACCCGCGCGACGTGAAGGTGGTCGACAAGTTGTGTGCCGAGATTGGCGACGGCATGGAGGGCGAGGTCAGCGAGTTTTTATGTCGCTTTTATGAAAATATTTCCGTTTTTTCCTAGGGTTAACAACGCCAGGTTCTTTGGCATTATCGGGGGAGAGCTATTTTTTTCCTATAGGGAGAAAAATTCCTGCTAAGATAATAATAAAAATTTTAACAGAGCTTTTAGCAAAATTCAGCACCAGTAAAACCAGAAAAACGATCGAATGAATTTAAAGAAATGAAATTTTCGAAATTTTGGTCGACATGGCTGATTTTTTTTGGTAAAAAATGGATCTTTTTGATGAAATTTTGACATTTTTGCGTTTAGAAATAGTAAAAAAAAAACACTTTGAAAGCAGTTCTTCTATTTATTTTTCAAAAAATTGCCCCCCCCCCCCGATAATGCAAAAAAAAACCCGATACTTTCCAGGTGAAGCCGCGTCTCCCGCCTCCGAGCGACCGCCAATACTATCTTCGCCTCGTGGTAGCTGAACGCTACCTGCGGCCAGAATATCGATGTTTCAGGAGATTTACTGCAACTCTCACACTGTCCTGCTCGTCCCCTCGTGGCGTCCGATCGCCAGGCCGGTGAGCACGAGGTCGTTGGGTAAAAGCAAGTTCTAGGAGTGGCGCCACGATCCGGGCCCCGTGCCCGCCGCTTTCTACCGCATGGTAGGCTTTTGTCTCTCTGTCTCTCACTCTCTCTGTCTCTCTCTCTCTCTCTAGCTATCTCTCTCTGTCTCTCTCTCCCTCTCTGTCTCTCTCGATCTACCCCGCTATGTCCACCCGCCGCTTCCAGGTTGCCAACGGGAAGCTGACGGCCAAATGGAATTCGGTGAACTTGCGCCATAGGGCTCCCCAAATCCTCGACCGAGCCTTCCTTGAAGAGGCTATCCGGTTCGGCCTAGGGCCGTTGTACTAGGGCCAGGGCCGTTAGGGTCGCCGGCTATAAGACGTGAAATTGTGGGTATTTTTCGGTGTTGTCTATTTATGGCCGAGACTACGGCAGGCTAGCAGCGATCATTTAGGAATGGAAGGGGCAGGCTAGCAGAGATCATTTGGGAATAGATGGGGCAGGCTAGCAGAGATCATTTGGGAATGGAAGAGGCAGGCTAGCAGAGATCATTTGGGAATGGAAGGGGCAGGCTAGCAGAGATCATTTGGGAATGGAAGGGGCAGGCTAGCAGAAGATCATTTGGGAATGGAAGGGGCAGGCTAGCAGAGATCATTTTAGGGAATGGAAGGGGCAGGCTAACAAAT